CTCCCCCCTCGCAGCAGAGGGCCAAGCACGATCATCAGCTGTGTGTGTGTGTGTGTGTGTGTGTTGTACGTGTGCCTGATTGAAACGAGATACAGCATGGCATCCACATGTTCCCATACACATGCGCAACGACAAGAGATCTTGGAGAGAGCAACTCACACCATACAGGATGAGAGAGCACACAGCGGAAGCATTTTTTAAAACCAAATATAGAATTGAGATTAATCAATCCTAATTAATCACCCGCTCTCCCCAGCCAATCAACGCACTGTTTTTTTTTCCAAGAATCCCAACCAAGTTATTAACACCCAGGAAGGCTCACAATTTCAGGCACGGTAGGGGGAAGGGACCACTCAGCGCTCAGGGCCTGATACCCTGCTCTGTAGCTATGGCTGCCAGTGTCTCTGCAAGATGTTGATGTCTGTGCCAGGGAAATAATGCAGCAACCTCCCGTGGTGCTTCCAGCCACACTTCGTGAAAGAAAAAAAAGTGACGAACATAAGCCCAAATTTATCGGCCTCTGCCTACTTCTACGCCACGTCCCTAGACCTACAACACAGCAGCCACCTACAGACCTATCTGACCGTCCAAACAGCAAACATCTACGGCCGAAGAGTCAAGATCTTCCTACATGCATCTAGATGGAACCTAGACTAAGGGGACCCCAGGCTAGGACACACAAAAGAAAGACCTACGGGCCGACCAGTTTCCAGAAGGGCAGAAAAAAAACAAAACAACAAGGCTGAAAGGCCTAAGACTACGACGCAGAGAGGACCAGCGACAGGTTGAAGGTTCAAGGCTTCAAGCCCAACAAACCTCAAAAACAGTCAAACACCACAAACACACTACAGGTCACAGGATCAAGTCCCTCGAACCGCAAAACTCCGGAAAAAGTTAAGAAAAGCCTAACCACTTAGTGTTACACCCACTGAAACCTGCGATTCATTGCATGCGCATGTGTGTTGTTCCCTCGGCCGGCACAATCCATCCACCTCATGGGGCTGATTATACTACACAATATTTCTTCATGTATCTGTGTGTCCATGCATGTCTGTTCATACACAGCCTCTCTCTCTCTCTCTCTCTCTCTCTCTCTCTCTCTCTCTCTCTCTCTCTCTCTCTCTCTCTCTCTCTCTCTCTCTCTCTGTGCTTGCGTGTTTTGCAACAGCTGTTGCCCCGCTGCACGGCATTCCAAATGCACAGGTGCTGGTAATGGTCCAGAAACATTCAAAATTTTATGTATCCTGGGCTGCTGATGGACCAGATATGTTCGGAATGTTCCAAAATGCTGTCAGCGATGTGTATTGAATGTTGTGCAATACAGCGGCAGCTGTTGCGAAACACACAAAAGCAAAGAGAGAGAGAGAGAGAGAGAGAGAGAGAGAGA